TGGCAATGGAAATAAAAATGGCGATGACGCCGACGTTGATGCGGAACTGACGAGGAGCAGAGTGCGCAATTTGTTAATGGAAATTCAATTGAATTGAAAAACTAAATAAATACCAATGCACAGGTAAATAAATAAAACCAGGACACGGGGAAAACATCAAATAAATAATGAACACGAATTTTTTCCCACACCGGCACTTTTTTCTTATTCCTTCGATTTTTCCCTTCCTTGTATAGGGACAATTTCACACATCTGTTCCTCAATTGGTGTGGAAAAAAATTGAAAAAAATTGTGTTCGCCTAGAGGTATGCAGTCATATATTAAACCATTTATGCTGGGTTTAATTTTAATTGGTTTCCCTTGGCAGGCGTAACTATTAAGAGAGTTATGCGTTTTAATTTGACCAAACGTTCACTGCATAAAAGGAAGGAAATTACAAAGTTTTTTCCTCTAGATGAACTCGGTCTTTCCTTAAATTGCTTTCCGCCTCGTTTTTATAACCCTTTCAACTCTGTGGATTTATGTTTCGTTTTTAGGTGGCGCCACCTGGCGTCGCCTACCGCTGGCAATAAAATATATATACGATTGCACCTATATATAAAAGGCAACAATAAAAACACAACTTCATACACGACATAAATCACCTGGGTAGTTCAAGCATGGCTGAAATATTACTCGGCCGAGAAGTTAAATACAAGCTGCCACCCTCTGACAAAAAAAAATGGCTAGGGCGTGGTCAATTAGAGTAAAAGTTGGGTGTAAGTAATACCCAGATTGTGGGATAATAAGGGTTCACATTTGTAATTTATGTTACCAAAAGAAATAAATCGCTTCTGAGATAAGTTATTTTTCACTTTTTTGTTCAATGAGAGCATGCATCTCACTACAGTAAAACCATTTAAACCCCAGTTTATGAGTGACAATCACACATTTCTTTAAAAATAAATATGGGATATGTATGATCGATCTGGTGTTTGCATTATTCTGATAGCTAACTAACCGCAAAATATATTTATCTTGAGGAAGTACTTTAATTAAATATATATTTACTTTTAAATTTAAAAAATAATATTTATTTTCTCTTAAATCCTTAATTAGGGTATCTTAAATGGGAATATTTCCAAATCTACTTGGCTTTCTTTTTAATTTTGGTTAAACTTTCTCCTTTAACCTAGATACCCTTTACAGAATGGAATTTCTTAACCAAGATATGGCCGTGCATCATTGACTTCACTTGGCCATGCGCCATTTTGTATTTCATTTTATTTTGTTTGTCATTTAAACCACATATTCCCTACGACCAACACATGTATAGTACATATAAGGAGTACAGCACACTACTATATATTATTTATTTGCTCAGACCACATACATTTGAACTATGAAATAACCACGGGAATGTTTGCCATTTCGTGGTCAATATACGGCCTGACCCACATGAAACGATTGCAAGGATGTGGCAGCGGAAGGCAAAGGATTGGTCAGGTGTGGTCGGATTGTTTGGGCAATATTTATTTATGTGACTGAGTGTGTGCTCTGTGTCTGACAGCAGCTCAAGGCTGTTCAATTAGTTGGGTGAGAGGACGGTGGGGCCAATCGCAAGGGCACTTGCATTGTGTGGTCTTACCATATATGTGTGTAGCATTTCCTACATCTCTTGTTCCCTTAACATCATATCAAACATCAATCACTTCCAATTAATTATTCAATTTGGAATTTTCCAGAGCCGAAAAAAAGTGCAACAGCTGACAACGGAGATAAGTCACAAAGTTGTGGTTTCTTGTTCATTTTTTCGTTTTTCCATTCCGAAAAATTTTACCAAAGTCAGGCATAGAAACAGGGCATAGGGAGAAATCACAGAAATGCAACAAATTCTTTCTGTGTGCTTTGTAATATAAATCAATCATACGACATGTGTGACACATCAAGCACAAGGCAAATAAACCCAAATATTGGACTATGTCGAATTGTTGGGAAAATAAATTGTTTAAGTCTTTTGGATGTGTACCTGTTACTTTAACATAGCCACAACAAAATTGCAATGGGGTAGAAGTTGTTTTAACCTTATGATATTTTGTAACAACTTCGTAAAGTCTTTACAATAGCTGAGTAGAGTTTTGGAAAATTATTTATATAAACTTTTTAAAAAGTGTACAAATTTAAAATACATATTGACAAAAAAATATGAGCACTTATTTTTATTTTTCTTTATAAAAGAACTTACATTTGTCATTCTCCACATAAGGTTTACTATTCTCCACATAAGGTTTACTATTCTCCATGTCATACAGATACTGTGGAATAACTATTTCTTAGAAAGAAAGCATTTTCCGACAGGGTCTCAACTGTGTCGACTGACTGACTCGTCGCCTGACAAACTGCAATGCGATTGCCAGCTCAGCAGATGCGTCCAGCGCAAACACACTCAAACACACGCCCTGGCCCCAAACACACACCACCACCCCCTCGCCATTGTTGGCAGCCCACTCAAGCCATTCTGTTTCGCTGCTCCGTTCTATTTGCAAGGAAAACATTTATGTAAAGTTTATATTATTAGAATGGCATACTGGAGCGCATTGTGCATGCCGTCTCTGTGTCTTTATAGCTGCACTTGTGTGTCTGTGTTTGTTTTATAACGACTACCAAACGACATTTGCCAATATGTTTTAAAGAAAATAGAGAAGATGGGGCAAAAAGCTAGAGATCGTTAGACGATTGCGTCTTTCAATTTGTGTGTGTGTGTTTTGTGAGTCTCCTTTTGCGGGCGATTGAATTGGCATTTTCGTTGGGCCAGCTTTCTGTAGCTGTGATGTCCTTTGCAGGACCAACAAACTCATCGGCATTTGCCAATTTGTGTGTTTTGCAGTCACTTTTTCACAGTAAGAGTAGGGCCTTTTCTTTGATTGCTTTGGCAGGAGGTAAAATGCTGACTTTCATATGCATGGGATTGTAACAAATAAATTACACCTAGACTGCTCTGCAATAACTTTTGCTTTTTCAGCACAAAGTTGTGAACAAGAAAAATAAACTTTTCAAATTGGGTGACAATGTGTAAAACAAAACTGGGCATTTAAATTTATTTCAATACACTTAATTAAAACAATTTTCTCTAAAAAACCGATAGATTTGATAACAACTTGTAATTTATGTGCTAAAGTTGTTTTTTATGTTATTGTCCTTTATAAAAAGCAAAGGTTTTATATTTAAATTCCAGGATTCTCATATTTAAATGAATCTAAACATGTTCCCTTTTTTTCAGGACAGAAATATTTTCACCGCTTCTATCTTTATTCATCAGGTCACATCTCCATCCAAAAAATCTCCTTTGGGCTCATTTCCATTTACGTGATATCCCGAAATCTCCATCCACAGGCGAAGCCCAACGGAACTATCTACAAAATTATTACCATTCCGCCTTCCTGTCCGGATTTCCATAACAAACATCAACCTGGGATAGTTATAGGCATTTTATTTGCTCCTATTTTATTTTTGTTTGCGTTTTGTTGGCCTGTCTATGCTCTGGAAAATATATATTGATATGGCCGAAAACAGTGCTCTAGTTTACAGGATGCATAACCCACAAAGGGCCGCGCTCACTCCGCTTCAGTAATTGTAACAAATCCCCATTTGTTGAGGACTGGACAAAGCGAGGACTAACGTTACCTGAGTTTGGTTTTGGCTCGGTTTGGGCCAGGCCAGCAAAATATGTGGCCAATTATAGCAAAAACAGACGTTTTTATGTTACAGTCCCTCGCCTGCCCTTTTTGCTCTCCGGTTCCAACTAATTTATGACTTTGGGCTAAAAGCTAGGATTTTCCTGTTTCTTTTCGGATTTTTCTCTTTTTTTGCAACTTTCTTTCTAATCATTGGCCATAATTCAGCAGCTGTACTTTAGGCTATTCAGCGCTAGTTTAATGGTTTTAAAATTGCCACAAACAGATATATTACGTATACGTATGTTTGGTCAGTAAATGTTCTTGATTTTAATGTATTATAACGAATAGCGTTTCTAAATGGACCTAAGTTTTTTAAAATAATTTAAAATCATAATTTAATTTAAAATAAGTTTAAATCGGGATCATCAACGTTGATTACAAATATATTGCGCATACGCAGGGTGGCTCATAGAAATTGGTTGACTTTAACGTCTTTAAATAAACATTTCCTTGCATGAATTTACTATGTAAGCAATTCAGTTTAAATTCCATTTCATTATGCAAAGTGTCATCGCTTATTGTTCCGTCGCCTAAACTTTGTTTACATTCACCAACATTTTCTGGTGGCATCACAAAAATTATTTTTGGTCTACAGTCTTTGGCAGCTCATCAAGAGATAGTTGAACAAGGCATTTATCCAAGCCGAAAATGTTCCTTTCTTATTGCCTTCGGCAAGCTTCAAATATAAATCTAATTCCTTACAATTTTCTTTTTTTTTGCTCATGGTCATTTCACAAATATTTGGCTTCAATGTTGAATAAGGAGAAGATTGTGAGCAGCGAGAACAAGAAAAAATTTGACGTTTTCTGCTGTCCCCATATTACTTTTATTTCTTTTATGTTTTTTTCCGTCCACTTCTCAACTGTCTATCGCAGCGATTTTGAGATGATTTTTTTTAATAATAAGATATTCTTAAAAGAAAATTTGTTTAAGTATACGTAACTAGTAAATTTAAACATCACAAAATTTAAAAAAAAATATATTTTGTTTTAATACTAACAATAATTATTGTTTTTAATATGGTAATTTTCTCATTTTATATTCACATTTTCTGAGCTGTCATAGACACTCGCATTTGGCTGGGATAAAATCATTTATCATTTGTCATCGCTTTGGCTTTTGTTTTCTTTATGTCTTTTCGGGACGTCTTTTGCGCCCAAGTGACACAGCCTGTCCTAAACAAATAACTTTTCGATGGCATTGACTAAAAAGTTATTCATTCATTTCAACTAAGAAAGTCCCTGGCCCAACTCAGGCCGCTCTTAAGCATAAATTAAGACTTACGTTTGATGATGCCAGGCGGTGGCAGAAAAGGAAAGTCTAGGATAGCACTTCAGACCGACTTCAGACTGGAAAAAGATACAGAAGAGAAAATTTGTATGTGAGATAAAGTTTGCGCATTATAAGGGGCAGTTGAATGAGAGGATGGGACCGACAGACTCAATTAGTTTTATTTGTGAAAAGGCAGAATTTCGAGCCCCAAGGCGACCACTGGAAAAATTCCCATGTAAAATTCCTGTTTTTATTGGGATTTGCCAGATCGGGACTAGATATGTTTCGTTAGAAATTAACGCAAACATTTGCTGTTTAATCGTGCCTGTGTTAAAGTAGTTTGCACATAATACTGTGTGTACAATTTGTTGCCTACTTTTGTGTGCTCGTCGCCAGTTTCCGGAAAACTTTTTGTGCAAGAAAAAGTTTTGGGGAAAACTACAAAACTTTAAACATGAAATCAACCCAACCAAAAATGGCGCAAAGTTCATGCGAAAAAAAATCGGAAAGTCCATTGCAATCGATAAAAAAAAGTGAACTACTGCTCTGATGTAGATTGCTATGGTGTCGATGGAAGTCAAGCCCACAAAGAGACAAGACGTGACAGCAGAAATCGAAAGCCAAAAGCAAATTAAATACAAGAGTGGCAGTTTTCACTCTTTTTCGCCAACCGCTGTCAATATCTGTGCTCTGCTAGCCGGATTTTTCACACCCAGAAAGCTGCCAGGTGATTAGAATTTAAACGATAAACATAAAAAAACAGGAGATGTAAAACAAACAATTGCTTAAAAATTAAGTGACTGAAATCAGGATATTGAGTCAACTTATTGGTGTTCTAGGAAATTAATAAAAAGAAAAATTATAAAGTATGAAGTCAAAAACCCTAAACTTTAGTTTGAATTTAAAAATGTGCCTCAAAATAATTTGAGAAAATTCAAATTAAAATCTTTAGGTATTGAAACAAACTATATTTTCTTTAACCATATGTAATTTTTCTCAGTCTGCCTTCGATATATCCTGTGAAGCAGTTTAAAAAATCTCTTAGATAAACTTGAAGGGTTGGTTTTATTCGCAGGCCAAAGGTGTTGCCCCAACCAAAAGTCAACAAACAGTTAAAAAAAATCTAGGATTGAAGCTGATACAGACATTCAAGCAACTAGGAAACTAATGTTGTCTTTTTTAATTGAGGAAAAAAACACATAAAACAACTTCGGAAATAAATAAAAAGGATTTATTTTTAAAAACTTAAGTAAAGAAATGTGTTTTATGAAATAGTTAAGATTTCTTTTCCGGATTTCCTTTGTGGCAATGTACCGACCTGACAGCACTGAGCACCTACTAACCCAAAACCCCGTTTTCTACTTTGACGCATTGTTGACATTACCGTCTTGGCCGCTGGTGTATCTGTATCTGTATCTGTATCTGTGTCAAGTGGTCGGCCCCTTCCCCTACTTTCTCCACCTGGTGGATGCCATTCATTTGGATCTTCTTGCGGCAGGTCAGAGGCAAATCGTTGAAGTTGGCTCTGTGCGTGGTTAAGTCCTTGTCAATGCGCTTATATAAACAGGGAAAGGTGGCAAGGGATGGAGGGATGGAGGCATTGACACAGACACAAGCTCAAGACACAAGGCAAGTCAGAGATAGTCTGAAATGCGTTTGGTTTGCCGTCTTTTGAATATGATTTAATTACTACTAATTGCTGTCTATGCTAATTAGTTTGAAAGGCTTTGCTCACTCTATCTGTGCTGCGTTTCCATACTGCTCCTCTGATCAATAATGAGATATGTAATATGAATACATGATGAGTACCCACGTGTGATTGGATTCAAAGAGAGGCAACTAAATCGCAATTAGTCGTCGACTGATATGGTAGTTTGTACAGATAATTAGCATTTTAGACTAACCACAATTCAGAAGATAAATATAAACATATAATTTTTGTAAATTTTGTATATTTCGATACGTTTTGCATACAATTATTCAAAACGTTGTTGGAGATAAAGCAACTATTTCACCGTTTTATAAATATCAATATCAACAACAGAGCAGAATTGTATTATCTTTTACCAAATAAAACCAAAATTATTCATCAACGAAGTAGTTGATACAGGTGCGGTATTTTGCGTGATGGCCATAAAAATCATGTGATCCGCTTGGAAATAAACTATAAATCATTTTGGTTTTCCTGATATTTCACAATGCACTTAGCGCATTAACGAACATGCACATGATGTGGGATAAAAAAGGTAAAACCAAAACCCAGAAAAGTAACCCAGAAAATGCTGACAGGAGAAGACACGTAACGTAATCTAATAAATGTGACAGTCAGTTTATATGGCAGAAATGTGAAAAACAATAAATCTCCATTAGGTTGAGCTGGCTTTCATTAACGGATTTCACGAAACTAAAACAGGATGTGGGGCTGTGTATACACAGGCACATGCCCTGACACTAATACAGTTCTGGGTGCAAGCTTGTGGGTGTATTTGTTTCATGCACCTGTCATGAAAATATTTGCGCAAAATATTTTAAGCCGCATTTTGACAAAGGACTCGGCCCAAGCAACTAAAATCACTCCTGACAGACGGGAACCCCGACGCCTAACGTAACTATGACAGGGATTTGTTATCGGGATAGGTGGGTGGCATGTGTGGCTTTAGTTCGCCTGTATTTTCACTATATTTTCCACCTATGCCATTGTATAAACAAATAACCGAAGCCCAGCTAAACGGATTATACTGCAAAATGTTCACGGGATGCGAGAATAGGAATTTTTGTAAATTTTTGCGGGAATTTTGGTGAGAGTTGGCAATGCATGTGTAAATTCAAACTAATTGCTGTTTGCGGTGAAAATGGTTGAAGGGTTATTAGATTAAAACATGCAGGTAATATCTACTATACCTTATCAAATATATGCAATAATAAATGACGGAAATCAAATAAAATCTATGTTTCATAGATTTATACGTTTTAGTATAAGTTTTTCTTCAACGCAATGAAAAATCCATATGTAAAATGTAATAATTTATGAACAGTATGTTTTATTAAACCTTTTGAAAACATAAATCTTCAAAATCTGCAATACCATCCTTTTTTTAATTGGCAATTAAATAGTCTGTGGTAGGTAAATAATCTAAAGGTGCTTCGAAAAACTGGATTGTAAATGATTGTAAAGCTTCACACAACAACCCCTAAATCCGGTGAAAAATTCTTTTGAACTTTGACCTAATTCGACCGAAAGCAAACGACCCCCAATGTAATCCTTAAGTCCCGACACTGACCCACCGAAACGAGACCCGCAAATTTAAAACCACCAGACTAACCTCAAGGGGTAAATGCGCAATTGACAAGCAAATTGACAATTCACTTAATTCCGGACGACAACAAAAGTGGAGAATTATTCTTGAGCATTAAAACGGCTGCAGTCGACAGACGGGGTTCAGAAATTGCACCCACCGAATTCCCCCGACAAGAGGATTAAAGGGTTGTTCCACTTCCTTCTCATAAATAATGCAAAACCGCAAAAGCCAAAACAAGCAAAAACAATTAAGTGGGGTGGCCAAGGGTGGTTGTTTGTCTTTTTGTGTGCCAATAATTATATGATTGACAAGCGATTCAAATTTTGGCCCCTAAACCTGCCGGCACTTTAAATATGAACTGATGGCGCCACGCCCCATAGAGATAATGCAATCCTAGAACTGAATTAGGTGGGTTAAATGTCAGTGGTTGGAGTTCGTTGGAGGGGTGGTGTCTGTCAAGCGGTGGGAGTGTCTGTTGCCTTTGGTAATTACGCTCACACATAGCCACATGCATGCTAATTTCAACTGGCCCCAGGAATCCGTCACAGAACCCGGTTTCTGGTCAAGTCTACATTGCCAAATGAGATTTTTGTGCACAGCTCTGTTCCTACCAAATCCATCACACAGTAACAAAAAAAAGTTTCGTTGTGAGTTGAACTCAATTTACTCAAAATAAAAACATAAATTAATCAAATAAATCAAATAAAACAAACATAAACCTATGTTACCTTACAAAAAAATACAAGACGCCCTGAGGCATTTTAAGAAACAAAAGATTTACCTTTTCATACAAATAAAATATTTAGGAGCGTCCAGATACAAATATTGATTGCATTTTAAAACAAAAACACATTTTCAAAATAGTGTATAATTCCCAGGACTACAAAATATCCAATTGATTATGATAAAGCAAAAATGTTTTTCTCTGTACTTTTAGAAAAAGGGTTAAGGTTTATTTGGCAACTGCATCGAAATTGGTATGGCACGCATTATTTTCATATGTCTGCCTGTGGGAAAATCTTTGGCTGACTTTGGTCTTCTCTCATTTTTGGCTTTTATTTCTGGCTTTTCCCTGTTGGATTCATCTGTTTGCGGCTTTTATGCGAAATTGCCTTTTATGCCTATTTGGAGGGAGACACAGGAGTTATGTTTCTGGTTTGTAAGTGGAGAAAAATTAACCACAATTATGATTTATTTTTACGTCCAAATAGGAGTGTTTTGTATTATAATTTAATTATAATAAAACGTTGTAATTAAAGATGTCAGTTCTACAGTAACCAAGTTCTTTGAATTTTCCAACATATTTATTTATGTTATTGACATTGAAGCGCCATCAACACCTAACGACAATCGTTTTTATCAAGAACAAAGAGCCTTCATTTACAATGGCCAATTCGACCCCAATTTCCTTTTATTTAGTATGCAAAACCATTTGCCAACAATTAAACTTCAACGAGTTTATCAAATTTTGACTTACAAAATAGGAGGGCTGGAAGCCAAAGTCAAGTCAATTGTCCCAATTAAATATTCTGACCGAAAACCGGAGAGTTAGAACTGTTTTTCACCTCCTTCGTTCAGGCAGGAATAGAATTCAGCATGGCATCGATTTGACAACCATCCTACATGTCAAATCAGACACATCGAGGTCTGCTCATTTGTGCAGCAAAATCAGTGCCGGATAGATTTCAATGGAAAATTTTTCCATTTTCCTCTCCTTCTCACCTGACAGTTTGTGGTGGATTGGGCAAAAATCGAATCGAATTGAACCGAAGGCTCTGGCTTTCGCAAAGCAATTGAAAATTATGCTGCAGTGGGAAACTTCAACAGGACTTGGAACTCAAGAGTGTTGGAGGAGATGCCGTTTCACATGCTCGTTTCAGGGCGTTTACAAAAAAAGGAGAAAAAAAAAGAGAAAACCGGAGGAAACGAGTGAAAGTCTAACAAAAACAGGTCATATGGAAATAGGTTCAAACTGATGTTTATTAATGCAGAATATGTATGACTTTAAGTCGGAGATTTCGGTTGGTAGTTTAATAGCAAGTATCAATGAATATTTTCGATTTTCTTGATGCCATGTTTTTGTGATTAATAATAGTACGGAGAAAGAAGCAACAAACAAAGAAAAAAAACAATAATTTTTAAAGAATATTTTTAGATTTGCTAATCTAAGACGTTTTTTTGCAGTTGGTTAGTACTCTAGTTTTTTCATCTGTAGGGCATAATGTCTGTTATTAGTCAGACTGTAGAAAAAGATCAAAGCTCACTCGCACACTCATCACTCACTCCACTGAAAATGCAAACTTCAAAAGCGATCTCTTGCGGCTTCAGTCTTCAACATCGCTGGTCGCTGCCTTGGGGCTGCTTTAATAATACTTAAACATTTCAAGTTACACAATTCAATTGAGTGAGCCCCAACAAACTTCGACTGACCTTTCTGTTGAAATGGCTGTGGCTTTAGCTCTAGGTTTATGAACATTTTCATCTCTGTATTGACATTGAAATGCGCTTCTTGGTCCATTCACTTCTTGAGACACTTAATTGGAGCCTTCGCTCTGTCGCTTTTTCTGTTTATTTTTCTGCCTCTCTGTCGCTCTGAAGCGAATCGAATGTAAATATAAGTTTTACAAAAAACTATTTTAACTGCTAAAAATATAACACCACCTTGGCCTTGGCAAAAGCCTTTTAGAGTCCAAAAATTGGTTTGAAGATTTCTGCAATTGAATGTCGAGTGGCTCGTGTCTCAAGCGGAAGTTCAGTTCGTGTATACATTTTGCGTCATGCCGAGTGATTTTCTGTCATGACAAGATATTATCAAGCAGAATATTTAGCTACAGTTAATAAATACTCTATAGTCTTCAAACACTATACGCAATTTATTTGGCAATCAAGTGGGCGATCATCTTCAAGGCTGCTAATCGAATTAACTTTGATTTATTGCTTGTTGACTAAAGAATAAATGTATTCCACTCGAGTGTGTCAGCTTGAAATAAGCTCAAATGTTTATGGGAATGTGAAAACCCAGAAATAAATCTTTTTTTGTGGCACTTTTTATTTAAATTCATTCACCTAATTCTGTGTGAAGTAAAGCTCAGTTCAATTACATATTTACATTTTTATAGATCACAAAATCATTCGAAAATCAGATGTTAATTAACTAAGAATCATTTTTTACTAAACAATTTATTTTCTTTTAACCGTATTTATTTGACTTTGGCAGCAAAGCACACTTTATATGGTATTTGCGGAGAATTAAAATGCACTGTTAAATGTTTAAATTTTACAAAAAACCGTAAACATTTTGTTAAACAATTTTCAACGTACCCACACTATCGCACTGAAATTATCGCTCACTCTAAAAAGTTGAACCGGCTAAGCACAACGTCTAAACACAACTGAACCGACTGAGAACGTGTTTTGCTCATCACTTGATTGAGGGATTTCTCCGGCGAGTTTCGAAGGGTAATGTGAGCGGTCGAAGTAAACACAGAATTTCAAATAATTGCTGATAATCAATTGATCGTATATAATAATAACACTGGCTTACAAAATTAAATTTACTCCAGAGATGAAAGTTTAGTTTTCCGATGCAGTTGGATTTCCTGATTAGGAACATTCAAAAATTGTTTTTATAGCACAAAAACCAAACCTTCATCTCTGGAGTAAATTGTCGATTTAATTTTGTAAGCCAGTGTAATTAGGTAGTTTTAATTAATGCAGTGCTCGTGTAAATGTAAAAACAAAATTCAAAATAAAAATCTACAGCAAATGGGAGGTAATAAAATTCGAACAAAAATGAGCAATTATTGAGCAAACAGAAACAAATGCAGTCAACTATTAGTATTTTTATAAAAAGCTGGGAATTTTGCAGTTCGTATTCTTTATATATAACTTTGTAGTTAGCCTTATCTGCTTGCTTTTGGGATCTACAAAGATTGGGTCTGAGGTGGAATGGGTCGAAATGATAAGACTCGAGAGATTCTGTACTATCAGTAAATCCACATTATGCAAGCAAAATTATAAATTATATAATAAATTGTAATACTATATTTATTATATAAAAAATGACATGCAAGGGTTTACTGAACTTTAGCCTAACATACAAGCTAGTGCGGTAATCAGAGCAGTAAAACAGATACAAGATACCAATACGCAGATACACGGGCTTTGCCCAACGAATTTACACAGTGCTAATGAAAAGCAATCTAAAATTGGAATTTCAGCTACGGATGCTGCACAGGAAAAAAAATCTGTATCAGTTATAAAAGTACAAAAATGTTTACTTTGTTCTTATATTAAACTGCACACATATTAGTTCAATAATATTATTTACTAAAATTAAATTGTATCTTAAACTCAATTTGAAAATAAAATTTACATCTTTGGAATGTCAAAAGTACGAGCTTTAGTAACTGCTTAAATTCTTAGTCATTTTTTTCAATTTTTTTCAGTGTGAATCTGTCTTTTTACATCAATGTTTACCAAGATGTCCATGCTCGACTTCTTCCCTAATGAACCTGGATAGGTTGTGATTTTCTAGAGCAATTCAATTAACAGTTTTCCCACTTTGACAGGTTCCCGTTTTGCAGGTTCATCTACAGTTATGTGCACTTAATTGAACACTAATCGAAATATTTATCATTTCCCTGCTTGAAAACCTCTCGAACACGAAGTGCGGTTTAGATTTTTTAGTAATTACCACAGGGAAAAGCAAGTGGGCGACGCTAAAATTATCGTGATGCCACTAAGCACTTTTGAGCGTGACTAAAGCTTTACATTTCGTTACAACTGCAAATCCCAATGAGCATTAACGAGTTCTGAAAACCATCCATTAAAAATAATTAACAAATATACATGTGAAGTGCTCTTTCCTTCAAATATGAGAGCTTTTCCCTTGAGAATTCGGATTTTGATATCCCATTTCTGATAAAACATTTTTAGTTTATTGGCTGCAAGACTTTGATAAAAGAAATCAGTATAAACATACATTTTTCAGCTGTTTGCCCTTTTCCCCAAGATGCTCAAAATTTTAAATGATTAAACAAAACAAAAACTGTACAAAAATAACAATTCAAAAAATGTTTACAAAGCCAGATAAAAATTTGTATTCAAAAACAGATCCAAATTTTACTTACACTTTTAAATATAGTTAAAAAACACAGGATTTGTCTGTCATCCCAATTATATGCATCGTTCTGGTTTTTTATTTAAATTCTGTTTACCTGGAAAAGAGAAGATAGGTGTTTAAATTAAATAACTGTTGCGCAATAAGTAGTTTACAACATTTAAGCTTTAAGATCTACCAGCAATTAATATGAACTGCTGGGAAACTTAGCATCTATTAAATTAGAGTCATAATAAATATATATTTAATAAAATTGAACATGAATTGCGCATGTTAAATGTCATACATTTTGAATGCTTATTAGAAATACTTAGAGCCGGGCATTAAATACATATTGAGACGGTGAAATCAGGACGGTGAACTTGGCAAATGAAGAGAGGGTTCATCTGTTGCCCTTTGTAGAATTGCATATGCTTATGACAAGAGAACTGGGCACACAACTTAATCCGAATCTTACTAAAATTATAATTTTCGGACGCAGCTAGAAATGGCCCTTCAAAGGGCAAAACAGTTTGGTTGATAGTTGTTTATATTTGGCCTCTATCCAAAATTTCAATTAGGTTGAGTAGAGCCACGGGTTCGAGTTTGAGCGTTTCCCATGTTGCCTGCAACTGCTTACGAATGTTAATTACGCAATTGACTTGACAAGCGGCAGAGGCAGAAACAACCAAATTGTCTCTAAATGTGCAATGTCTATGTGTTGACTTACATAATTGTACTGAGCCTGCAAACGGCTCGTCCGTTATCGTAGATATGAAGTAGGTGATTTAAACAAGGCCTACAGCTTTTATTTTAGGGTAATTAAAGTATTCTTCATTCAAAACTATTTCTGTTCGTTTAGTTTGGACTAATTGCAAGCAATTAGTTTATTTTGTTTTGTTTTCAGGCTTTTACTTGTAGCTCATTTTATTTTTTTGTTCTTTGAATTACATTTCATTAAATTCTTTTATGCAATTTTCTGAAATTTGCTTTGCTCCAAATTTCGTAAAGGATTTGTTTGTGTAAGTTTTACTGGGGTAACACAAATGCAACCCATTTTTATTTGCTGAACAATGTATATATCAAGTAGAAACGTGCCTTGTAAATAATTTTGTGGAATGTGTAATTAAAAATTCCAGTTGCAAAGTGGCCATAAAGTATAAATAAGAACTTGAGCCAGAAACAACTTAACAATTTGCTGAACATTATTGTATCAACCAATTTTTGTTATAATAGAAAATGTATGAGAAATATAAATGTATAAAAAATATTTATTTATTGAGTACAAGAATTTATACTTGGGTATTAATTAAATTAAATAATATGTGCTCGAAAAGCATTTTTCTTGCTTAATGATTTGATTATAGCAAAACAACAAGAATATAAAAGTAAAACAGAAGGCAGAAAGCTAAATAAACTAATCTTATCAGCGTTTGAACAATTCTGTTTTTTATGGTTGTTCTTTATTTTTAAATTAAAAATTAATTAAATTATTTTTAATTTTTTAAAACATCATTTATTGAGTTTTTTGAGTTTTGCGGTCTGTGCAAATAAAATATAAAAATGATTTTAAGTTCTAACTATTTTTCATTCAGATTTAACCATGTAAAAATCATAAAGCGCGAAATATTTAGCCCGGCACTGCCACGCCCTCGAGAGGCGGGCTTTAGGCAACTGAATTGATGCATTTTATATTAGGTAACAAAAAGCAGGCAGATGTATTGCGGCAGGACTTAAAATTCCAGCATAAATCTATACGTATGCAAATTTACCCGCATGTACATACATATGTACACATATTTCATGAACAGCGATTTTATCAAAACCATTTCGATTTTATTAAAGTTCTAATTTGTGGTCATTGAGGTGGCAAAGCTGTATAAAACTCGCTTTACGTATAGGCTGTTAATATGAAATTGATAAATAAAATAATTGAAGCATGGAACAAGTAATTTTAATGAACTTTTTTTCGTTGGGCTTTTAGAGCTTCTCAGTTTTGTAACCCATTTTTATGAGCGATGTTAAAACTGGTGATATTTTGGTGATGACTCACAAATTATAAATACCCTTAAGCTAGGAATAGTTTGGGAGCAACACATTATTTTTACTTTTGGGTTTGGTTTTGTGAGTTTTATTTTATGAAAAACTAAAAACAAAAATTCTCAAGGGTAAAATTTATGCACTCTGAAGAGGAGTTTGAATCTTTAAGGGGAAAAGAGGGAATAAAACCCGAATAAAGTCCCAAAGCGACCAACTTTTAATTTAAACTCTCATAGGTCCCATTACCCTTTCTGACTTCGTTTTCGGTTGTGTTTTGATAATTTGTGTAATCGTCATATATGAAGTTTAGTTTGTGGTCATTAAAAAGCGTTTCAGAAGCTTTTACAATGCTATGAATTCATAATCCACAATATGTTGATGCTTTGACAATTGTTGTTTGAAAGATGTCAAAAGATGATGGGGGATTAAGTTGATGATTTTAAACTATTTTAAAAGCTTTTGGAAGGATTCCTTCATGTCAGATAGTTTGCGTTTACTATATTTAAAGTTAAGATATAATTAAATCTGACTTTAAATATTAGCTAAAAGTTTTACAATAAACCAAACTATCTACACATTTTATCATTTAGACAATCATAAGGTTTAACAACTTTTTGTTGAGCAAATCATCGGGCAAATCTATTTTAAAACCAAACCCTTTCATAGTTCATTCAACTACATAGCAGCCCTTAACTTTCCCAGTCCTAAGCCGACACAATGCACAAAATCCAAAAAGCCAGAAATTCCCCGTCGCTGCCTCCCCAAATCAGATTTCATGCTAACAACTTCCGGCTTGCCACCAGACAAAAAAAAAAGAAGGCTGTAAAACAAAAACATAAAAAGGCAACAAGAAAAATGGGAAACTTTTCCGAAAAGGGCACTGGGCAGTGAGAATGGGGGAAAAACTTCTGTTGCAGCTATAAAATAGACTTTGACTATGAATTTCACTCGGCCAGCATATAAAAATTTAAGGCTCCAGCCACAAGTCTCTCTTTAAAATTTAGTTGTTGTTGCCGTTTTAATTGTGAAACTTTTGTCATGCAACTTGCATATCTGCACAGCAGGGAAGCCCCAAAAAAGAAATACATATATATAATGGCAAACCAGCAGCGAGCAAGGATGAAAGGACGACGGATGGCCAATGGCCAATGGACGACGACAAGTGCAACTTGTTCGGCACTTTCCCCGGCTTTTTGTTTTATTTATTTACGCCTCGTTGCTTCGCTATTCAGGGTCCTTTATCAAGTCCATCCCTCTGCCCCGTTATTTATAAATAATCCACCGCATTTTGTTTCTCCGTGCAGTACTCCTTTCTTTCTTTGCATTCCCTCCTGCCCTGAAGAGCTTATCAAACAATCATTAGCTGGCCAAAAGCAGAGGAAAAGTTTCTTGATTTTGTTAGTAATTACACCCCTCAGTGAGGAGATGTACAAAAATACTACAAAATCTGGTGTCACCAGGCTAAACTTTATCAATTTAAGCGCACAACTAGTTTTGTTTTTGTGAACTCTGAACGAAGAAAACAACTAAATCATTTTGAAGATCTATCATTCAAAGTTTAACATTCTAAGTTTTGGAATTAATCTTTATTGTACATTAAGTAATATCTATATGTGTTCGTAGACATATTAAAAAACCTATTTTGTTAATTTAATAATATAACGTGTCGTGTTTTTAATTAGCTTATATATCAATATATCACCTTGAATCAATTCAGACCTTATCAAGATTTTTCTATGAAAATTAGTTTTTAATTTACAACTCTATTTTTAAGTGCCGTAAATTTTGTTTTTACGATCAGATTTGTGGGTAGCCTTCACACCCAGAATTAATGGTTTATTTCAGCCACGTAAATTGCTTTTGAAATTTTATTTTGTGCCAATTTTCATTAGACATCAATTAAATTTGCTTGTTTTTGTTTTGTTGACAATTAAAAATGTATTGTCATAAATTTGCGAATTAAATTTTGGCCTATTTTGTGGACGTGTTCAATAAATTGTGTGAATCTGTTTCAACCGATCATGGCGCAAAAAAAATATTTATTTGTTCTATCTGTATTATTTTACAAATTTTTATTGTTTTGTTTTTGTGGTTTTGCAGTCGATGCTGTGAAATAATGATATAATTAGCCAACAATTATGCGTGCAGTTGCGCGTAATTTGTAGTAAACAAAGTCATTTCCTATTTGCATTATTTTCCAATAATAGCTAAATAAAAAAAAATGCAATTTGGACTGCTTTAGGTAAATTGTTTTACATTATGATACAAGTTTTAATAATTGTACAATTAGAAATCAAACTGTAGGTACTTTGTAAAAAATATATATTATTAAAACTCATAGCTGAAGAGTTTGCGATTCCAGGAATGTACATCTTCGTGGCCTCTTTTTTTCATTATTTATACTTACTTATTTAAATTTCTTTTCAATTACACGACACATTTCGGGCCAAAACACAAAAAGGGGCAACTGGCCCATCTCTCAGACCATTAAACTCGAGCGAGGAAAAAACCCTGAAGGGGAACAAAGAAAATGCGAAACGAGAATTTTTGCCCAAATCCAAATATGAACATTAATAATCATTAGTATACACTGTATAACATGTCCTTCATAATATGTATGTGCAAAAACTTGTATGTTATTCGCCTTGATGTTTTTGTTGTAGTCCTTTGGTTTGGGTTGTGGACCATTTTACAATTTGTCAAATTCACTCAACTGTATGACTAGAAATATGAAACAGAAACTCAAAAAAGGCGTATAGAATGGTGAGTGGAGCACTGAGAATTGGATACCGAGGCTCAAGTGCTAAATCCACTAGAAAAGAGAAGAAAAACGGGTTCAACATGAAATGGCACATTTTTCTCATAATTTTGGTGATTTTTTATTTTGTTTCTGTTACACTAAACGGAAGAATTTCGGGTCGTTTCCTCTGCTTGGCGTGAAATATGCGTTCTGTGGTTTCGTCTCTAAAACATCGTTAATTTGATTTGGTTTTTCCTGTTGTTTAACCCACATCAAGGGTTTTTTACTTCTGTTTTTTGTTTCAATGATTACATTACTTTTGCGGTTAGATTGTGGTC